CAATCACAGCGCACCTTCGAGGTAAACTTCCTTCCTTCCTCCTAGGTAATGCGATTGGTACGAGAGTCTGTGATTTTGGTGCAAGAACAGTTCTTCTTAAACAGCAAACTTTTCCCAGGGTTCCACCCTTCATCGGAATTTCCTCAGTTCCACATAGTAAAACTCCAGATTTTAGGTCGATGTTACACTGGTGCCCTTGCAGGAAGTCAAGTCCCAGGATGCAGTCATCCAGAATTTTGGCCACAATAACCTCATGTCGATAAACACGTTCCCCAATTTTGATTGTTACATGCAGTTTTCCACTTATCGGTATGCACTGGCCGGTAGCTGATTTCATTTGTAGGCCAACAATTGGTTTAAGGTGTTTCCTGATGTTTTGCTCGAGCAGCCGAACATTTATCACCGTCCTTGAAGCTCCAGTATCTAATGTTAGCTGACTGTTTTACCCATTTACTTGACCGTCTATCACCAGAGTATTTCCATCGTTGGTTTGCTTGATGTAGATTGTTGGGGTTGTTCCACTACCGGCCAGCGCCCACCCCGCAGCCCTGGCTGGATTTAGTTTCCCTGCTGGTCAGAAGTTGAGACCGCCGCGTCCTGGCGGTTCACCTTCCTCGGGCAGTCGCTCCGCATGTGCCCACGCTCTCCGCATCCATAGCACATGAAGTTCCGACGGCGTGGAGGTACCTGCTCCGTTGTCGTCATTTCCCGCAGACGTAAGGTACGGGAGTTACCACGCACGGCTTCCACTTCCAATGCATGGGCCAGAGCTTCTTTCATGTTCTTGTGATGGCCCAGATGAACAGCAGCTCGTACTTCGGGGTCCCGAACACCGTCAATGAATGCTTGGAGAAGCGTGCCTTCAATCATTGATGGAGTCGACCGAAAAGCTCGACGCACAAGTTTCTCGATTTCCACGGACCATTGCTGTAGACTCTCATTAGCACGCTGAGTACGCTCTTTTAATTGCGCTCTGTACACGTGCTCGAGGTGGCTGTCTCCAAAACGTGCCTCAAGTGCGTCGAGGAGGGTACTAAAGCTGAGATCCCCACTTGCGCCGATAGCTTCCAGCACTGAGAGCGCTTGATCACGGAGGGCCAGGGTGAGGGCTGACTGTGCTTCCTTCTGAGTCCAACCATAAGCCTCCATAAGTGTCTCAAACTGTAGCTTGAACGCGGTCCAGGATGTTGTTCCGTCGTAATGGGGAATCTTCAGCCCTTTCGTTGCGCTTGAGGCCGCATTTGGGGCGTCAAAAACGGCTGCAAGACGGCTTCGGCTCTTCAAAGGGCTTGGGCTTGTCACTTCCTGCTTGATTTTGGAGATCTCTTCTTCCACTCTCTCCTCTATCGCCATGACGCGATGTTCCAACTTGCCTAAACCTTCCTCCACTTCTTGTACCCGTTCGACAGCCTTTTGCAGTCCCTTCGTGAAATCTTTATGCATGTCCTCCAAGCGACGCGCTTGCTCCTCTTGGCGACGAGCTTGATCTTCTTTCAGCTCCCGCAGCTGTTCTGACTGACAGCGTGCTTGCTCTTCTTGGCGGCGCGCTTGCTCTTCTTGGCGGCGCGCTTGCTCTTCTTGGCGGCGCGCTTGATCTTCTTTCAGCTCCCGCAGCTGTTCTGCCTGACAGCGTGCTTGCTCTTCTTGGCGGCGCGCTTGATCTTCTTTCAGCTCACGCAGCTGTTCTGCCATCATTTGCCGCAGCTGTAGCAGAAGATCCATCTGCACAGGCTTGGCTTCTGCATCGCTGGTCTGAGCTGCAGCACCCTCTTCCCTCACACGCTGCGCTTCTGACATAGCACGGGTACTCACTCCTCTTACGTCCTGCGGCACTAGCGGCATTTTTCTCCAATCCCACTTCTGACACCAAATGTTACGTGCCTGACGTCACGTTCCTGACTATGCGGGCTTGGGTTACGGGATTGGATGAAATGAAACACTAATACCGGTTTTCAGACTTTCTATTGCGCTTAAGTTACAGCGTCCACGGAGTTAAGTTATCGGCGTTCCTCTCCAGCAGAGTCCGGCCGACTGACACAACTTTGCCGTTCACGCTAACTTCACTTAACTGACTGCACTTCACTATTTCACTCACTTTTCTTCTTTTTCACTTCTTCCTTTTCTTCCGAATCGCTTTAGACTTAGAACTCAACTGCCAGCGGTGAGCCGCAGTTCCGCTTATATACCCCCGGTCAGGTTCTAGAACATTCAATTTCGTTATTCTTTTTGATCGTCATGCCTCCAGAACCTTCCAATAATTTCGTTATTCATTTTTATTTATTCTCCTTCTCGCTCCTTAATTTTTCATTACTTTCACTCAAATATTCCAGAAAGTTCGACAAAACTTCTATCAACTAAAAAACTTCATGTTTACGGCGAGACTCGAACTCGGGGTCTCTGTGGTGTAATCCACACGCCTTACCGATTACACCAACTCGTGTTGACAATTCACGACGAAATTTACAATCTCTAGGCAACGTTTGACAACCATCCATTGACGTCATGATGTCAAAGAGTTTTCTGTCACATTATGTATAATGAAGGCCTGGAGTGTACCTGATGATGGAGGTCATTGACATTTGAGGGAATCCCTCAACGATTTACGGCACTGAAAGCTGACTAACTCAGGACTGCCATTACCGTGATTTTCGGTCTCAAGTAGCCGTCGTCTTCTCTTTTGAGAAGCATCCTAGCTTTCTCTGCCTATCACTTAAAATGGTGAAATAAAATAATTTTTAACAAAAAAAAACCGACTTCAAAACGTAAACTAAAAAGCAAAAAATAAATTTACTTTGTTTAAAATAATACATATTTTCATTTAGTTAAATATAAAATAGTATTTAATAACTATTTTATAATTTTGAAGTCGGTGCCAAGTAAATACTACATACCAAACAATAAGAATATTAGAAAAATATATTGAATACTACTAATCATCAAACTAGCAAGAGGTATGTAGGTAATATCTTTACACTATTATTCTTTTACTTGGCACCGACTTTAAGATTATAAAATAGTTATTAAATATTATTTTATATTTAACTAAATGAAAATATGTATAATTTTAAACAAAGTAAATTAATTTTTGTTGTTGTTCAACTGTTTTGTTTACAGAACTTAAAACTGTTTTACTCTGTGTATCCTTCACAGCATGTTAGTCTGAAAATTCCATTTTATTTACACCAGTACATTTTGCAGCTCGCTAAAAAGAAACAGTGAGCTAGTCTGTTGTTCTTTCATTCAAGATAAGAATGAGTTGGTGGGGGTAGGGGGAGACACTACTTTACACTAACAATGGGGTGTGAGTGTTTGTTTCTCTTTTACGGGGGCTTAAATAAGGGGTGTTGCAGTGTTTATTCAATATCAAGTTATGCTTGTCAAGGACTGGTTGGTGTGAGACTTGAGATATTATTATTTTGTCTAAAATTCGACAAAGGAGTAGATTGTCTTTACATGCAGAAAGGAGTGAATGTATATTTTGCATTAAATTTTAAGCTGTTATTAATGTTTTCGGTATTGTTTTTTATGGTTTAGATCGACAAACGAGGATTACCTGATGGTAAGCAATTAGCGCCACCTATGAACAGCCGCAACACCAAAGAAGTAACGAGAGAACTTTTAGGCATAAGGGTTTTGGATATTTAAGGATTGGGAAGGATTTAGAATTCACACGGCGAAACACAACGGTGAAGTTGTTTCACGCCAGTTTTCTGTGAGGTCGTGGTATCAATCCGGTCGAGTCGACCCATTCGTGCCGTAGCTTAGCTCTCCCACATTTAACCTTAGTTTCGTCTAATTTATGATTGTGGAAGCTCAGTATTCTATATACGGGCAACAAAATCTCTTCGTAGTTTGTTACAGCGATAGCTCTAATAAAAAAAACCGACTTTAAGTCAATACCGCCGGCTGTAACCAACAAACGAATAGCTTTAGCAGATAGTTCTAGAGTTTGCAGACTTCCGCAACTTCGTTCTTTCTCTTTGACCACGCAACGTCAAAAGCGAGATTATTTTTTTAAAATTGGAAATTGATTATAACGACGATCCCATTTTTGTTTTGAAGCGGAAAGTAACTATACATACTAAATTATATATAATTTATAAAAAAAATCTTGCACTAATATTAATAGGATGCTGCTATAGGTGTGTAACACTACAAGTATAAAAATATTGTAATGCCGTCACCTGGGTCCCGAGTCTACTATTTTCAAAGTGTTGTCATTCCTACACAATTCCATTGTCATTTTGCTAAAAGTTCGTAATCTGTTAATTCAAAATGACTGATCATTGGCGTTTGACGATGTCGTAATATAATTATAGTACGAGATGTCTTGTAACGAATTATAAACAATAACTGCACATTAATATTCTAAACGTAAATCATTGAATAAAGGAACTGTCATTTTTTTATTAATTTACCGCATTATTTCAAATATTCATTTGTCATTATGTACGAGATTGCCGTTCTAAATAATTATTTTAATGAAGTGGCATTGGGATGTCACAATGATGCTATCGTGTTAGTAGATTACCAAAACTTGTCAAAATCAACAATTTTGCAACCAATGATCTACTATTCTGACACTATTGTAATAGCAGACTCGAGGCCTTGGTCGTTTATTGGGTTGTTCAAAACGTTCAGAAGTATCTACTAACTAACGTTTTGAATCTCTTAAACTATTCTGTCTGTATTTTCATGATCGTCATCGGTTGCTGAAAACTACTGAATGCTTGGACGTAGCATAGGACTGAATCATTCATTGAAGATTTTGAATTGTTTAGAGACTCAAATCTGTACAAAATACAATGCGACTGATAAGCCTCTTCCATAGTTTCAATATTTTCTTACCACCCTATAGTATTATTCCTATTTACACAACATCTACTGTTTCTACTAGATCTTCTGTAAATTGCTCATTAAATTTTTCTAGCTTGAACTACTAACTAACTTAATCTTATACTAGTTGTACAAAAATGAAGTAATTAATTAAATAAACTCACCTGGTAATGTGTCTGTACGACCACAGCTCTAAAAACTATGGAGGCATCTTGCACTCTCGTCTCGAGTGGCTTCTCCGCGTACTTCGGACACTGACTGTCACAAACTATTGTCCTGCACAAAAACAAAACTACCACCAACAAATCTCTGTTCGTAAATCTACCCATTGTTGGCCACGATATCGCAAAACCCATTTTGAACTTTAATAACTTTCTGTCACAAATTACATTTTTCTATGGCACGTCCATCGCACGACACTAATTCTCTTCACTCGCCTTTTCCTCTGACGTTTTCTGACTTGCATCTTTTATCTGTAACAAAGAAATATAAACATTAATACTTAATCAATTTCTGCTGAAGCCGATTTCCTAAACTTAGAAAAGTTTTTACTTGTGAGTATTATTGTTAATTATGAAGTAAATGCTAAGTTCAATTGACTTATTATGGGAAGTAATTTTGTTCACTGTGGGCAGGTCACATCTGTCGAAGAACCGATGACCGCTGGGGTAAACGTGTTCTAGAGTGAGACCACGTCTAGGCAAACGTAGTGTAGGGCGCCCTCCAGCTAGGTGGACTGACGATATCCGCAGGGTGGCTGGCAGTGGTTGGATGAGAAGAGCTGAACATCGAGCTCAGTGGCGTGCAATTGGGGAGGCCTATGTCCAGCAATAGACGACAACAGGCTGATGATGATGATGATGATGATGATGAATTTTGTTCACTAGATGGCACTGCTTACATTTTCGCCACACCATTGGAAATATAATTTTTAATAGCTACGGTGATTACTGATTAGAGAAACTGCCTTGATGAGTTGCGTCTGGCTAGCAAAAAACGGTAGCCCCCGTTCCTTTAAAATCTACTTTATTTGCAACTGAGTACGCTTGCTTGTTTTCTTTGCAAAAACTGAATTAACTACTCGTACTTAAACACGAAATAATTCAACCGTAGCAAGCAGTTGTAATAATAAGATACATAGAGATATTAAAATACACCAGCAAAGAAATATGGACGAATATTTGCGCCCCTCTGTATAATTGGGGTAATGAAGAAATTAATATTTAATGAGAAAATATTAGGGTAGCATGTCATTTCGCAAACTGACTGGGTAATTACTGTTTATTATATTATGTAGCCATTTTCATTTTCTTAATAATATTAGAGCATTTTTTATCAGCTACTACTAGAAGCAATGCAGACTTACTGTCTTTTGAACGCTCAATTAAAAAGAATGATTTGAATTATTGACTGCCTCGTTTGGATGGTTTTCAGGTGAAAATGAATTGCTTGATGCTGTAAAATATAATAAACTAGCTACTCTTGCGCTGCTCGGCTCCATTTGATCGTAGCATGATGTTTTATAGCCTATAGCACTCAGGAACGATAGGCCGATAGCTTACCATCGTTCATTTTGAAAGTTATCCAACCTTTCCCATAACAAAAAAAAAAAAAATTGGCAAATAATTTCTTAATAAAAACTGGGAAGTAGGTGCTCTATAAGAATATTCTATCTACTCCTTTGAGGAAAATAGGTGCGATGTTATTATTCAAATAATTACTCATTGACGTAAAACAATCATAAGCACTGTAATTGCCTGCTTAAGTACACTGGAAAATCAAACTTAGGTTGGGGTAATTGGGTGTATTTTAGAAAATTCGACGTTTCAAAAGACGTAATTATTTTTCGTGGAGACTACCTATAATTTAAATTTTACTTGACGTCCAACTCGGAAAGCTTATTTTCGTGCTATTGAAACCTGTTATTAACGATGAAATTGAATTTTCCTCTTTAGTAAGAAACATTTAAGGTAGATATTAGTTTTGTCAAAAATCGTGTGTTTTATTTCTAATTACTAGTTCATATTCTTGTATTTGTATTGGTCGCCGTGAGTGCTGGTCTGCCCTACCTGAACCCAGATCCGAAGTTACTATGTAAAGCAATGGGATGACCGCAGATGGTGTCAAAAGGGACCGATGTCGGGTTGGGGTGGCAGGCATACGCGTTACCTGATGGTAAGCAGTCGGCTCCGCCCATGGACATCCGCGATATCATATGAGATTCATGACCCTTTGTGGATCAGCGTTTCAACCACATTCACAAGGCGAAAAACAAGTCAGCGTTTTTTTGTGTAATATTTTTATATGTGACTTGAGAATCGTTTAATCCTGAAAGCAGCAGTCAGAGGTGCACGTCACCTACAATATAACGTGCAATTTTGACTATAAAGTGCCCGTAACAGTTTACCGAACTCGATGAACAATTCCATGACCTCTTGACCTCTCAGAAATAGCGATCAGCCGACCAAACAAAAAAAATTTCAATATTGAACTAAGACTCAGTATATCAACCAAGCCACGCTACATAAGGAAAATTAAATTACAATTCCACATACCCTTCATATACCCTCCCCCTTATTCAATTACAAGTTCTGTTTTGTATATTGAAACAGAATTAATTCAAAGGGTTTGAGCAAAAAATATTTACGTTAGGTACCTACTGTATGTATTCATAAATATCGTTTATGAAAATGAAAATAGTCATCCAAAATGTTTCTGTAGGTATATTAAATATGTTTCAATAAAACAAAACATATTATATTTTCTGTTTATGTGTTTGTCTTTTTGCACACGCTAATCTAGAATGTGGTGGGGGCCTGGAGGTTAAGGAGCTTGCTTCTCATGCATGAAGGTAAGCCTGTGGTATAACTCGGAAAAAGTCACATTGGTATGTGACTTTTTTTATTTTCTGACTGCCTGGTTGCGTAGGATGGTGGCTAGAACCATTCTTTGTGAGATCCAAATCGTATTTCCGTGTCTGGATGTCACAATCATATGAAATTGTAAACATACCCAAGGCATAGAAGATCAGCCAGTCAGTGTAGAGCAAAGTTTGAAAAACCATAATATTTTTTTATTCGATATTTCACGAAAACCTGACTGAAAAGATAAAAACTAAATTTGCACTATAATTTTTAATGTATTTGCTACATTAATAATAATATCGGTATTCTAATTAAATTGACTTAGATATTATTTGTTACTATAGAAAAAACAAGCAAAGGTTATCTATCGAGTTATAAAAATATTTAGTGCCCAAAATAAAATAACAGAATTAATAATCCACAATAGACAAATTGATCCAATAACATATTCAAGAAACACCAAACAAGAGATAGCTAAAATTGTCTCACAATAACACAAAACAAGTACTCAACACAAAATCGTCTCAACTAGAAACTAACGTATCGTAAATCCGAGTTCACATAATCAGAATCCCTACAAGTAAATTTGTTGACAAAGGTATTACTGGCGATCATTAAATAGGATGAACTCAATCTGAAGAGCAGGAATAATCCTTCAAACACGGCCTACTTAGGGCCTTGTATCCTGTTATATGAGCTTTTAATCCTCGAAGAGTGCTATTCCCCTTCTCATATTCAAGGATAAACGAAAGCCTTCTTACATATGTGCTAATAATATAGCAGAGGTTTTGTGTAACAAGATCCTAAAGATTGAAGATGTATGTCAAGAGGTTTTGGAATCTGAAGAAGATGTCAAGTATTTGCATCCTGATTTCGGTGTCGCCTTAACTCAAGTGCGGTTTTATCTTTGATACAAGACGATGCTTATTATCTTGTTCGTGTAACAGATGTTTTATAAGATTGAGGATCATCAATCCTTTTTGATGTTTCGACGAGTTTTACAAAGAAGGTTATTATTGGGTTTTTTTGAACCATTTTTTTTTTATGTAATAAGTCGGCAAACGAGCCTACGGATTACCTGATGGTAAGCAATCAGCGCCGCCCATGGACACCCGCAACGGAGGAGTTACGAGTGGGTTGCCGACCTTTTAGGGATTAGGGATTTGGAGATTTAGGGATTAGGGAAGGGTCCAGGAAGGTGAAGGATTGGGCCTCAATCACACGGCGAAACACAAAGCTGTGGTTGTTTCACGCCGGTTTTCTGTGAGGCCGTGGTATTATTCCGGTCGAGCCCTTGGTGGTAGTTCGTACCAAGAATTAAAAAAGAAGTTTATTTTGTTCTTAAGAGCTGTAACTTTAGCAGAACTTACAATACTTCTTTCGATAATGAAGGTAATCTATGTAATGATAAATGTTATCTTATGTCTTTTATTGTAAATAAAATAAAATACAATAATGTTATAAATGCTACTAATTTCTAAGCAGCTAATAAATTCACTGTTCAGTTGAATCAAAATTGGTACACACAAAATAATAGGCGTCTTTCTTCTTGTAATGAGCTTCATTAAAAGCGACGATTAAGGGATTACCAGAAGACGGATGGAACCGTTATTCCACCATGATCCTCCAATAATTACCATATGCAAAGCCGAAAGATTATTTCCGACATTCCGTTGATACGCTTTGATTGGCAAGAGATTATAATAATATATATTGTCAGTTTATATTTAAATAGTGAATAATATAAAATTATTGTCTATGGGGTAATAATTCAAAATTAAAAAAAAATAGAATTCAATTCAATATAGGTTATTCAATATTCTAATTTTTTTTCTTGGCAAGCGAGAACACACGTCACATAATGATAAGCAATTTGCACCGCCCATGGATATCCGCGACAAGAAAATACTTTATAAGTACGTGTCAGTTTTTTCTTTAGTTTATAAGGATTTAGGAATTTCGGATAGGGGAGGGAAGTATTGGGGTCTCAGTCATACGACAGGAACTAAAACAAGCGTTGTTTTATGCTGCGCTGGTAATCTATAAAGCTCTAATATTAATCCAATAGAGTAGGTTCACTCGCGTGTCAAGCACACGTCTTCCAAGTTACAACCAATATCAAGTCAAACTATATCTTAATTAAATTATTTGAAATTACGACCAACTCAAGTGCATTCAATAAAAAAATCTCAACTAGTTTCAGGTCACCGCGGGACTCTTATTAATTTGATATCATTGTTTTTTTACTTTTAAATTTAATGAACGATACTCTCAATAGATGCTAGTTTACCTTCAAATCATCAATGGAATACATTCTTAGAATTGAAGACACTTATCGCCCCTTTTCTCAAAGTCCAGGTATTAAATCAAATACGTATCAAAGGAGAGAAAGACAGCATTCAATATATCAGTATTATTTACTTCAACAAAGAGGTTGAGGTCGTCATTTACCGATTCTGTTTCACTGGCCAAGGAAAATTGATTTATTGCCAGATAAGAGTCGCCTGTGGTGTCTAGGAATACGGTCCCTTTTTCAAGAGTATATTTAGATATTCTTTAGAAGATTGAAAGTGATAAAGTGGTACTCAAATGGGATAAGGACCTTATTTCT